GATGTATGAAAAAATGCTCAACTTCACTAGCTATTAGGGAAATGAAAGCCAAACCACAATGAGATATCACCTCAGCCTGTTAGAATGGCTATTATCAACAAGGCAAATACTAATAAGTGTTGGAGAGGATATGGACACAAAAGAACCCTTATATACTGTTGGTGGGATTGTAGATTGGTACAGCCACTATGGAGGGCAGTGTGGAGGTTCCTCAGAAAATTAAAATAGAATTACCACATGATCCAGCAATCCCTCTCTTGGGTATCTACCCCCCAAAAATCTGAAAACACTTATCCATAAAGATATATGTATTCCAATGTTCATTGTGGTATTATTTACGGTGGCCAAGACATGGAAATAACCAAAGTACCCTTCAATAGATGATTTTATATAGAAAATATAGTATATATACAGAATGGAATATTGCTCTGTCATAAGAAAAGACGAAATAGTGCCATCTGCAACAACATAGATGGACCTTGAGATTATGATGCTAAGCGAAACAAGTTGGACAGAAAAAAATCGAGGATCATATGACTGCACTCATATGTGGGATATAAAACTGAAAGCAACAAAGGAACAAGACAAAGAAACAGAAACTCATAGACACATACAACAGTTTAGTGATTATCAGAGGGTAAGCGGGTTACCAGATGTAGAAGAGGGTGAAGAGGGTGAAATATGTGGTGACAGTAGGAGAACTGACTCTGGGCGGTGAGCACACAATGTGATATATAGGTCATGTATTTTAAAATTGTACACTTGAAACATATGTAATTTTACTAACCACTGTCACATTAATAAATTTTACTAAAAAAAAAGATTTCTCAAGCCAAGTAACTTGCCAGAAGAACTGGCACATCAGCACTGATATTTAAGCTTACAAGTTTCAATTCTGTGGTTCATTTTCTGTGTCAAAAATATTTTTTTCTTTAAAAAAACAGAGATTTTTATTAAAATCCACTCATAAATGGCTTTAAACTGTGCCTTAATACACGTCTGGCATTTTTTTCAAGAGTTTAATTTATTTGAGAAGTTTATCAGATCTTTATTCTGGACAGAAACACAGATAAAACTGCATAAAATACAGATACTTTCAAATGTATGTATTTAAATATTGTGAAGATGTAGGTACCCAAATCCAGCAGCTTAAAAGATGTACTATTCCAGGGAGAAAATAATTACACACAAATATTTATTGGGTACCTTCTATGCACATTACATGCATAGGGATAGAAGTTTGTGCCACCATGTAAAGAAATATATTACAATCTGTCCTCATGTAAAGGTCAGGAGGAAATAAATAGGCAAATTCAACATAGAGTAATCAAAGCCACTATATGGACAAGCAGAGCAAGGAGGCACTTCCAACAGGTGGCCAAGCCTTTCCAGAGAAAATATCTTTTTAGCATCTGACACATAAATGAAGCAACAGTGTGAATTAGACTGTTGATGAAGAAAGGGAGGAATAGACTTGTGGGGGAGTGGTTATCACTTTGTGAGGGATGTAAATGTCTAATCATTATGTTGTTTTGTACACCTGAAAGTAATATAATAAAAAAAAAAAGAAAGGAAGGAAGGAAGAAAGGAAAAAAGGAAGGAAGAGAGGAATGATTCAGAAAGAGGGAAAACCATCTCTAAATGCTTTGAGATGAGAAGAGGCTTGGTGAGTTTAGGGACCGCAAATGTCTTAGTATGGCTGAAATAGAAAGTGTGCGGTGGCTGACAATAGCTTAGATTTAATACACTCATCAAGTGGAAGGAAAATAAGTTAAAGGTTAGCCTGCTAGACAATCTGAGCAGGTCAGCAGGTAACAGCATAAACATCAGAGAGTCCATGACACAGTGGCATTTGTGATATCACTGTGACCCTTGCTATTTGTTGTTGATCAAAAGGATTTAGGTAAAAACAAAACACAATTATATTTGAGCAACAGAGAGAACAAATTATTAATAATTTATCCATTTAATCTTTGTAATAGATGTCCAGTGTATAAATATATCAGAGAGAACAAATTATTAATAATTTATCCATTTAATCTTTGTAATAGATGTCCAGGGTATAAATATATCAATTAATAACATTTGTAAAAAAAAATACTGACTTACAATAATGAAGGTGAATTTTTTGGGCTTTGTTGTAGACAGTTCCCTGCATGAACTGATTCATTATCATCTCGAATCTAAACTGTGATTTCATATTTCTATTTCATAGTTGTTTCCTGCTTTATAACTATGGTGATCACATAACTTTTCATCCAAACTGGGGCATTTTTGAGAGTGAAAGATGTATTATGAATAATTACACAAGGACAAGAGGCATAAATATGAACAGTACTGGGCAAACCAAATGTAAGAGTCTCATTTCCAATGTGCATTTCATTTTAAAGTATGATTACATGATTACAATTATTTAAAATTTGGAATAATGCATTGCTATGGAACATTTTTTTCCTCTTTTAATTGACATGTTTTAAACTTTTTATATTCTAAAGTGGGTGAACTTCATTTTGTCTTTCTAGCTTCACCTTTACATTTTTATTTGTCATTGTACTGAATAAATCACTGGCAGAAATAGATAAAATGAAGATGATAAATCTCTACATCATGACACTCACCGGCGGTTAAATGTGCATATAGTTTTTTAAAGCAGGATTCTTCTGCAAAATCTAGGAGAAAGTACTTCATTTTATGTTATTTTTCCTTAGCTTTGGATACAGGAATTGGGATCAATCCAATAAAGAACTTTTATGGCCAATGAAAAATGGAGCATTATTAAAATAATAAAAAGTAAGGAAGGTGAAAGACTTACTACAGAAGAGAACTGTCAGTTTGTAGTATTTCAATGGAACCCTATACAAAGCCACGATATTCAGCTATTATTCAAGCAGGTGGCACATTATTATTCTTACAGATTGATACCTTTGCTTATTATCCTCTTGACTGCACACAAAACACCATAATTTTCATCTAATAATGCCTGTAAAAACTTCCATTAATAATATAAAGTGTTATTTTAAAAATCTACTGCCTATTCTAATTAATTTTTGTTTCTATAATTGATGGACTGAGTTTCACTGTATCTGGGTATACTAGGACAACTCACTTGGATCATAAAGGAAAACAATGGATTTCGGATTTCAAATGAGGCAGTTTTGAAACAGTGCTTTGTCAAGTATTTTAATTCCCACAGAGGGAAGCACAGCATGGCTTCGGGTAAATTGACAGTAGACAATGGACACACATTTTGAGTTTTATATAATCCAATGATGAAAAAAAAATAGTCAATGCAAGAAGATGAATCTCATGCATGACCATTATATATAATGAAGGAGTTTTTCTTTGTTAAATGACTCCCAAATCACCTACTCAATGAAATCCAAGGAAATTGCAGTCAGACATAAGGCTCTGCCTGTGGTCTTGTTCCATACCTCGTTTCCCTGTTAACTGTTTGTAGCCTCTTATATAATGCCTCCAAGTGTTTACTTTTGCTCTTCCTTATGTTCAAACATATTTTCCACTTTTATTCATTGGCCAAACTCTTCAAATATAACAAAAGTTAGCTTGAGGAAATCTCCAGAAAATCTTCCCTGAGTCCTCAGGTTAATTTAAATGTGTCTACTTTGTGTTCAATCAGCACTTGCCATGTGTCTTTCTATTAGTCTATTAGCAGTCGATGTGTTATATTTGATTTACTGGCTTATATAACTCTTTACCCTTCTAGACTACAAATTATTTAAGGACAAAGGACCACTAAATAAACACAGGAGCTGGTATGTATAATATAATTGGAGATAAAAATATGTCCTATTTTGAGGTAAAATTAAGTGTGTGTCTACATGTTATTGTTTGAAGTTGCGATGACAGATAGCAAGCCAGACAACCATTTCTAAGCAACTGCATCTTGGTGACATGAAACAAGTATGACTTTAGCTTACATGAATTTAAAATTAAACCTGAATTCTGCTGCTTATTAGCAATGTAACTCTGAGCCAATCACTTATTCTGAGCTTTAGTTTCTACCTTTGTATCAATTAGCATACTACTAAAGTTAAGGCTATAATTCAATGAAATGTATACATTAAAAACACCTTGTACAATGTATACTCAGTAATTTCCTTACCTTACTTCCTTTCCTTTACCACTTTTAAATTAAAAATTAAATTCATAAGGCTACATTTCTATAGCTTGTTCTTGTATGTGTAGATATGAAAAAGTTATATGTTAATAACACACACTAGACTTTCTGTGTCCTTTCTTATGTCTGTTCTTTTACTCAGAATGCCCTTTTCCCAGCCCCCATCTCTACTTGGTAAATTCCTGTGCTTCTTTCACTGCCCAGCTCAAAGCTTACCTTCTCAATGAAGTCGACCAAAATTAATTGACAGATCATGTGGGTTTCCACAACTTTTAAATTATTTCATTATTTAAAAAATTAGATATCATTAAACCAAAATTATAATGATAAATGCAGTCCCTAGCTTTGAAAAACTTTCCAATCTAGGATCATCTTTCAAAATTATAAAAAAAAGAAGAGAGATATATAATAAAAAAATTTCTAGACAAGCGAGATCTTTTCTCTTTTTGTTAGAAAGAGCAGTGACATTTAAAAAACAATACATTATTAAAGTAAAAAATATAAATCCATCCATGCACATTTAAATATGTTCATTGGATAAAAATGAATTCCTTTCAGTAAAAATAAAATTAAATGTTAGAAGATGTAATAAATTATAGAATGGATAATTAGATATATTTGACCGGGGCATTTATTACATATAAATATATTCAGTGTTTGAATCACATTGTAATATAAAAGTTTATTTTAAAGAACACCAACAATGTATTAAAACTACTGCACTTCACACTTTTAAAAAAAATTGGTTAATTGCTATCCAAATTATTTTTAATTTTTATATTATTAAAATGTCTACGGGTGCCTCTATAGGTTTCTCTATCAGTTTATAATCACAAGGAAATAAGAAATTAGTTTAATTTACCTTAATAACCAAATCAAATTTCTGGTGAAAGTCTCTGTTTACTGGCTCCAGGAGACTGAGTTCTGCAGTCCTGGGATGCATATGGAAGAATCGTGGGTAATCCTCAGGAGTCCCTGAAAGACATTAAGGTTTCAGCATGCAATTGAGAACAATAAGTAATATGTGAATCTGCTATATCTATTTCCCTTCATTAACTGAGAAACAAAATCACAATTTCATTAGCAAATTAAGTTCAAAATTATGCAGTCTAGGGAAAGCAGATGCAAATGTGGTATATAATTAATTAGTTTACGAGTAAAGGGATGGAAAATATGTCTTGTTTGCATGATTTTCCACGTAACTTTTATTAACGGCTCTTAAATTATTTGAAACTTCATCACATGAAAAGAACTATTATGTGTAGGGAGAGCAAATTTTGAATTCTAAAATTGTATTTTAATGGTGCATAAATTTCAATTATAGCCTGAATGGTCTTTCAACATATCTTGTAATAAACAATGACTAGTAATTTGTACCAAATATCAAGATGATTGGAAATTAAAATGAGCATATTCTGTTCCAGCTGAGCAAATATTTTTCTTAAGATAAATATCAAACAAACTATATCAACTATAGTAAATGAAAATATTTTTAAAAATTACATAAAATATTTTGATGATACTTTCAATGTCTAGAGAGGATATTTCTTAAATTTTAGTGGGTTGAAAACACTTCTTGCAGAAATTTCCTTCCATTGTCATCTTCCTTTGTATACTGTGACATTATTTTCCAAAAGTGAAGAAAAATAAATGCCAAACCCTATAACTGTAGAGTATATGCATTTGGCCAAACAATAACCACAGAATAAAATCACACAGCTTCCAATTATTGAAGCCTACTCTGTGCTAAATGCTTTATACAAGTAATCATCAAAAACTCTGTAAATTATTCCCATTTTACAGAGAAGGATTTGAGAGAGTTGAGATATAAAATAACTTGTCCAAGGTCAAAGGGACAATGTAACACAAAACATGCCTTAAAGTCTAGTTTGCTATAAGCCAAACATATCAAAAAATGAGTTTATTGGTACTACTCCTTTGTTTTAACTCTGAGACAAAAAGAGAAATTCTATGTAAGGGGAGTGGGAGAAAAAATTACACCAGTAAAATAGACTTGACAATCCAGAAATAGTCAAAATCCCACAAGAAAATCTAGCATATGGTAAAGGAGTCATCTCCAAAGAGTAGGAGGGATTGGACTTTTGAATAGGAGCAGTTACTTAATAGGAGGGCCATATAAAAATGATAAAATTGCATCCATTCTTCATCTATATACTAGAGAAAACCCAAAATAGAGAAGCTATTTATGCACAATAAACAATAAAACATGTAAGTACTAGTAATAGATGAAAACACAGATGAATTCTACTCTAATGTGAGGGTCAACATAGCTTTCCTAACTGTGACTCAAAATCAAGAAGCAGTAAGTGAAAAGAGAGACAAATTTGATGACATTACAAAATTACATGGCAAGACACAAAAGAAAAGAAAAGAAAAATATCAACAATACATTAAAAAAAGAAAAAGAGTGTAGGCTACAGAATGAACAGGTAGTTCACAGAAAGAGAAAGGCAAATGACACTTGACCATGTAGGTACCAAGATGTCCACCTTTGGACACAAAAATGGAAAATTGAAATTAAAACCACACTGAAATTCCATTTCTTACTATTGGATTAGCAGTGGTCTAAGGTGGATACCACATTCTATTGGTGAGCCTGTGAGAAAACACAAACTTTCAGGCATTTCTGGTGTTATTAAAAGAGTGTTACAAAACTTCTGATGGAGAATTTATCATAATCTACCAAAATCACATTAGTATTGGGGGATTCTGGGAAGTATAGGAGAAACCAGGAATCTATCTCTTTACCTAGATAACAATTACAACAGTGGAATCTGTCTGATGTATTTATTTAAACTCTGGAGTCTACTCAAGTCTTATAACTTTCAGGGGAAGGGTTGGACAGTAAATTGTGATTACATTCTGTCAATTACAGCTCTCAGCACAGTAGAAGTTAGCCATCCTCCACCCCTGAGCCCCTTGGCAGGAAATAGTTTACATGTTCCTGGAGCAGCTTGCGCACTGCTTAGTCAGGACCTGGCAAAAAGGATCCTGCCTTCTAAATATCAGTGATCTGCACTCTCACAAGTGCTTGCTGCTTCTGTTCATAGAGTGCCAGCAGCCATTGCTGTCTGTACCTCCCTGTATTGTTGCAAGCCCCACGCCCCTCAGAATAAAGTGAGTTCCAAGGTACTTAAAGAGCCAGCATCCTTTTTTTGTGGTCCTTAATTTTTCTCTTTTTTTTCCCCTTTGGAAGCTAGAAATTAAAGATTATAATATTGAAAAACAACTGTATATGAGGGAGGTGTTGGATTAGACAGTCACTGTGAGTACCCAGGGGAAAGCACAGGCTCAGAAAATTCTTGAGAGGACCTTAAGTTTACACCTGTAAACTATTTTTTTTAAAGTTTACTACAATAAAAAATAAACAAAAATTAAAAAAATTAAACAGCAATACCTGATGAAGTGGGGGAATATGATTTTCAGAGTTATCATGTTATTAGATTCAAACGTGCAGTTTTCAACACTAAAAATAAGAACAACAACAACAAAGAAAATGCAAGGGATACAAATAAACAGGAAAGTATGTCCATTCAAAGAAAAAAATAAATAAATAAACTGAAACTACCCTAGTTAAATATCTCTTAGACAAAGGCTTTAAAACAACTGTCTTTAAGATGCTCAAAGAACAAAAGAAAGGCATAGAAAAAGTCAATAAAATCATGTATGAACAAAACAGAAGTATCAATAAAGAGAAAACCGAAAAAGAAACTATAAAGAAATTCTGGAGCTGAGAAGTATAAGAATTGAAATGAAAAATTTACTACAGAGATTCAAAGGCAGAGTTGAGCAGGCAAAAGGAAGAATCAATGACCTCAAAGATAGAACAATGGCAATTATTGAGTCTGAGAAACAGTAAGAAAAAAAAATGATTGAACAAAAGGAAACAGTGACAAATGGACATAGTGGACACTATTAAGCCAACCAATATACACATTATTAGAGTCCCAGAAGGATAAGGGAGAGAGAAAGGGGCAGAAAGAATATTTTAAAAAATAGTGGCTGAGAAATTCCCAAGTTTGATGAAAGATATAAATATAAGCATCTGATGAACTCAATGAAATCCACATTAGATTAACTCAAAGAGACTCACACTAAGATGCATTATAATCAATCTCAAAAGACAAAGACAAAAGTGAATCTTGAAAGCAGCTAGAGATAAGTGGCTCATCATTTTTCTATCAGAAACTTTGAAGGCCCAAAGACAGTGGATCTATATATTCAAAGTACTAAAACAAATAAAACAAAAACTGTTAAAAATAATCCTATATGTAGCAAAGCTGTCCTTTAAGAGTATCAGAGAAATTAAGACATTGCCAGATAAACAGAAGCTGAGGGAGTTTATTACCACTAAGACCCTTCCTGTAAGAAATGCTTAAGAGAATCCTGCTGGTTGAAATGAACGGAACTTGATACAGTACGAAGGAATAAAGATCTCAGTAAAGTTAAATGCATGTGCAATTATAAAAGTTAGGATTATAGTAACAATGGTTTCTATCCCCACTTCGTTTTCTACATAATTTAAGATACTAATACAATTTTAAAAATTATTAATGTATGTTTTCAGGCAAACAATGTATAAATGTGTAATTTTGTAACATCAATGACTGAAAAGGGTGAGGGTTGATCTATAACGGAGCTGAGACTTTTGGTATATTATTGAGGTTAAGCTGGTATATATTCAAGTTAAAGTGCTATAACTTTAGAATGTCAAATGTAATCCCTAAGGTGAAGATGACAAAAATAGTTATAGAATATACACAAAAGGTAATAAGAAAGAAATCTGGACACTTCACTACAAAAAATCAGTAAAACACAGAAAACTGTAATGCAGAAAATGAGGAATAAAAAAGCTTTAAAATATATGGAAAACAAAAGGGAAAATGAAAAAAGTGTCTCCTTATTAGTAATTACTTTAAATGTAAATGAACTAAACTCTCCAATCAAAGAGAAAGATTGGAGAATGAATAAAAAAAGTAAACCAACTAACTATATGCTATCTACAAGAAACTCACTTTAAATCTTCATGCAAATGGATTGAAAGTGAAAGGCTGACATATGCTACAATATGGATAAAACTTGAGGACATTATGCTTAGTTAAGTCAGTCATCAATAGACAAATATTTCATTATTCCACTTATATTATGTACTTAGAGTAGTCAAAATTATAGAGACAGACTGTAGGATGGTGATTACCAGTGTTTGTAGGGAAGGAGAAAATAAGGAATTATTTAATGAGTATAGAGTTTCAGTTTTATAATATTAGAAGCATACTGGACACAACATTATGAATGTATTTAATACCGCTGAAATGTACACTTAAAAATGGTTAATATGGTAAATTTTATGTATGTGTATTTTACTACAATAAAAAATTGGAAAAATCAATAAAGTATTTACTTTTTGACGCAGAAATTTCACTTCTAAGAAATGTTTTGCATTATAATAATAATATAAGATAGGTAATCACCTAATATACATAAATAGTGGTCTGGTTTAATAAATGGTGATGCAGCTTCAAGTGCATATAATTCAAATATAAAAATGGTGAGCATCTTTACCCATTACTATAGAGATGTCTTCAAATATACTGAGAGAAAGAAATTTGGAGAAAAGTGCATACAGTATGCTAACTTTTAAGAACACAAATATGCATATACAAATAAAAGGAAATATATATATATATGTAAATATGTAAAGATAAACTATAACATTAAACAAATTGTTACACATGAGAATGAAGAGATAGGCATTAAAAGGTAGATTTAATTAATTATACGACTGTCTTTTATTTTGGAGCCACATAAATATTATACATTATTATAAAACATTAAATTTGAAGACATCTCAAAAAAATAAAAAAAATAAAACAATGAATCTAAATGTTTATTCAGTTTGTGACATAAAAACAAAGAGAAAATAAGTGTCCCAGATTACTTTAAAAGATAGTAAC